GTATTTATTTATTGCTGATTTCAAAATATTTTTAACAAAATAATATTTTTTCCTTTTAAATAATATACTAAATATTATTATATACTATAAAGGAAAAAATATTATTTTGTTAAAAATATACTACATTTTGAAATCAGCAATAAGTAAATATATACAAAATAAAAATGTATTAAATAATATTTATTTTTAAATAATAATTCAGATAAACAAAATATTAACAATTAAATAATAGCAGACCAGTTAACAAGGACAACAACAATAACAAGAAGAAGAATTGTTATATAAAAGGAAAAAAGAAGTAGGTTTGTTTTTTATATTTCAGCAGATCTATTATCACAGGGGCTTTCCTCTGTTTGCATGTAGCAGTGTGTGAATGTTTTGCTTTCTCATCAGACATCACCTTTGGGAAAGTGAGCTGTGTGTTTGTGTGAGGAAGTGTGTCGCTTGGCTGTCACTCAGACTCTGGATCAACTGACAGCGGAGGTCTGCTGCATCATGGGAAGCTACTGTACAGGCTGTCTGCCTCAGTGGGCCGCTCAGCTCCCCTGAGAACCGAGTGATCGACGGAGTTCTAGTGGGAGCTGCTGTAACTCAGCATTCTCAGGGCTCTCATTAAGGGAACCGCTCATGGATAGAGGAAAAAAGTAATATTGGATTTTTATGTGTGTTTTATCAATCAAAACTGTGTGTGAAGGGTTTCCGAATTGTGTTAGCTTATTGCTGAAATCAAAGTTTAAAGGGTAGCTGTTAATGGAAGAAAATGTGACTATTATTAACATATATCAAGTTAAAAGTCTGATATTGAAAATATCAGGGGAATATCAAAAAGCAATAAAATGTAAAAGCATGTAGGATATAGTGCCGCATTGGTTGTTCTGCTGTAACATCAAAGATCTGGACACTAGAGAACCCCTCGGAGGCATCCCACCGCTGCTGCATGGAAATATCCCCATTTCAAACTCGAGGCTTTTTGCAGTGTGTGCAAAGTGCAGGCTCAGAGGTTTGGCCAGGGAAATCAATGCTCAACTGGAATGTAATATCATTTCTGTGAAGGGTTAAAAAAATTTTTTTGTTAATTGGATCTTGATTTGTTGTTTTGTGGGGCTGCCTACAGTTTAATCAAGTCTTGTAAATACAAATAAAAGTTCTTCCCACCCTCATGACCCAAGACTGCTACTTTTTTTTGTCAGCAAATGCACCATGGTAACAGTTAAAAATAGAACAGTACAATAGAAGCAGAACAGACCTGTTAAATAAAGGTAGAAGGTAGAGAGAACAGTAATTCATCTGCACTATGCAGCCCTTTCCTTCCAGTGCCAAATAGGAATGTAAATCACACTGACTCAACAGATTGTTTGTTTTGTTAAAACATGCATCAGTTTCTGTATTTGCATGAAATATAAGATTATTTTACGTTTTAAAAAATTATATTGGAAGCGAAGCGCCTTTTAAGACCGTTCTAATTTTACTAGCTTGTTGTAAATGTGCATGTTAAAATATAATCCTTTATGGGAACAGTCAGTGTTTATTAAATAATATATTATGACATTTAGTTCTTCGCACACATCTAAATTATAAATGAGAACAAACACAAGTTCAGCTTGATATTTGCTACCAAATATCTCTCTACATTCCGTCTTCACCTTCAAATATTTCTTCCTGTTAGACAATAGATATGAAAGTGTTTGAATAAGCCTAAAAATACAATTGTTTTCTAGATAGATGGACAGATGGATAGATAGACAGACAGACAGACAGACAGACAGATAGATAGATAGACAGACAGACAGAGATAGATAGATAGATAGATAGATGGATAGACGGATAGACAGATAGATGGATGGATGGACAAACAGACAGACGGATGGATGGATAGATGGACAGATAGCTAGATAGATAGACAATAGATATGAAAGTGTTTGAATAAGCCTAAAAATACAATTGTTTTCTAGATAGATGGACAGATAGCTAGACGGACGGACAGACAGATAGATGGAAAGACAGACAGACAGACAGATAGATAGATAGATGGATAGATGGATGGATGGACGGACGGACGGACAGACGGACGGACGGACGGACGGACAGACAGACAGACAGACAGATTTTCTTGTTTTCTAGACAGATAGCTAGACGGACGGACAGACAGACAGATGGAAAGACAGATAGATAGATGGATAGATGGATGGATGGATGGACGGACGGACGGACGGACGGACGGACGGACGGACGGACGGACGGACGGACGGACGGACGGACGGACGGACGGACGGACGGACGGACGGACGGACGGACGGACGGACGGACGGACGGACGGACGGACGGACGGACGGACGGACGGACGGACGGACGGACGGACGGACGGACAGATAGATAGATAGATAGATAGATGGACAGATAGCTAGACGGATGGACAAACACAGACAGATAGACAGACAGATGGAAAGACAGATAGATTAATAGATAGACAAATAGATAGATAGATCAGTCAGTGGAGTTGTTGAAGTTCACACAGGTTGTGTTTACAGATATAAAGTCTGGTGTTGTTTTTGTTCAGGATGTCCTCTGATCAAACTAGTGGCATAGCAGCAGGATTTAATGAGTGGAAATGTTCTTTCACACTGCGGCTCTTGTTTTCTTTGGACGCTCAGACATGCTTACATAATATCTGCTCATGCTTGAAGTGCAGAGTCCTGATTGGCTCTTGATGACGGCAAGATGTACCATCAGCTTCCGACTGTATCAGCGACCGAGAGCGGGATCTGTGAGTGTGTGACACTTGTTTACGGCAGCATCGCTCTTTCCCACAAGGACCCGATCCAGCAGTTTCCCACAAAGGCCTGATCTAAAGGTCTTCAATTCAGAAACAAACTAATTTTCTAAAAGTGCCAGTTTTACTAGACACTGATTAGGAAAACACCCTCAATCTTCTGAAGAATAAGAATATTGTTTATTTTGCTTATTTAAAGGTAAAGAACCGAGATGTAAAACTGTGTAGAAACATCACAAATAATGCTCAGGGAACTCTCATAAAAATGCTGCTGAAAAAAAATACAAAGGTAATAGCATAACAAGAACAATCCAAGCTTAACAAGCAAGACTTCTAGCAGTTTTGAAGAAATGTTAGCTTAAGTGGTGAAGACAGAGCAAAGGCAAGACGAACATACATTTATTACAGTTAGCCTGCACTGCTCCTCTGATAATTGGCTGACAAATCAAATGTGGTCAAATCTAGGCCAGAAAATAGATTTTCCAGTTTCTCAGTGTTCTTAAACCAGAACATTTCATCACAGTGAAATGCATATATCTTGTTTGAATAAACCACATTTCTACACTGAAAAAGTGCAATGAATTGGATGTTTAGCTGGTGTTGAAAATCTTTCCAATCATACTTACTGTACCATTGCTAAACTAATAATACACAACAAGGAGATGCTACAGGCAACGTTTCAGTTCATGCCAGTGTCAAAAATAAAGCTTTTGCTATAAAAAAATGTTTTAAAGGTTTTATACACCTGATGATTTTTTTCCTCTCCGTCGTCTACTGTGGGTTGTCATATGCAGGTTATTTGTGACCCTGAACCACAAAAAAAAGTCTTAAGTCGCTTGGGTATATTTTTAGCAACAGCCAAAAAAACATCTTTTATGCCAAAAATCATTAGGATATTAAGTAAAGATCATGTTCCATGAAGATATTTTGTAAATTTCCTACTGTAAATATACCAAACATAATTTTTGATTAGTAATATGCATTGCTAAGCACTTCATTTGGACAACTTTAAAGGCGATTTTCTCAGTATTTTGATTTTTTTGCACACTCAGATTCCAGATATTCTAATAGTTGTATCTCGGCCAAATATTGTCCTATCCTAACAAACCATACATCAATGGAAAGCATATTTATTCAGCTTTCATGTGATGTATAAATCTCAACTTATGACTGGTTTTGTGGTCCAGGGTCACGTTTGTCTGGGCTCGATTATTATGGTATATTATCCACTTAGCATTGACACAAAGCCTACATGCATTTGACAGAACATTCATGGTCATTCCTCCTTTAGTCCTCAAAGCATCACTTAATGGCAAATGTATGCTATTATTAAAAACATATGACAAAACATTGCTTGTGACAAAATAAATTGTAACTGAACAGTCTGCAAAGTCATAGCTTTTTCTCAAGCGGTGATAAAACACACTTATCTTTGGCCATTCCTCTGTTCACCAGCTTCCACAGTCATCAAGTGACATTTCATTTGGCTCTAAAGTATGTGAATTTAAAGGAAAAGTTCACCTAAAAGTCCAATTCTGTCATCATTTATTCACCATAATACCATAAGACTTTTGTGACTGAATCATAAACCGATTCTCTGAGAAAATCCAGATCAAAAGAATGATTTGTTGTGTTACACTGAAGAAATAGAATCATATACTATTATAGTTTTATTAATATTTTGAACCTGTTTGTATTTTTATATTTTCCATTTTAATTTTAATGTTTTAGCAATTGTATTATTTTTATGTAATTTTATGGTAACATTTTAGATTAAGGAACACTATTCACTGTTAACTAGTTGCTTATTAGCATGCATATTACTAGCATATTGTCTGTTTATTATTAGTACTTATAAAGCACATATTAATGCCTTATTCTACATGACCATATTCTAGGTCCCTTAACCAATACCTAAACATAACCGCTACAAACAACTACCTTACTATCAATAAGCAACAAATTAGGAGTTTATTGAGGGAAAACTCTTAGTTAATAGTGAATGTGTTCTCTAATCATTTTTTAAAATTTATTTTATTTCAGTTTTTGTTATTTTAGTAAATGCAATTAAACTAAATTAAAGCGACATGCTGCCTTGTCAAATAGTTAAAATACATTTAAAAAATATTTTATTTTATTTCAGTTAACAGTGTTTTTAATGGTTTTATTTTTAGTTTAAATTTTAGTTAACTATAATAACCTTGGTTTGGAACAACATAATGGTGCGTTAATGATGCCAGAAAGTCATTTTTGGTTGTGCTATCACTTTAAGGCAAATTTAACTGCCATAAAATGTTACAAGATTTATGCTAAAAATATATTTATACATTGCATTAACGCACAACTTTCTTTATTCAGCAGGCAATGAAAGATGAATGATTGTGTATTGGTCATATATCCAATCACGACCAATTCTATCAGAAAACTTGCATTTGCTTACAGAATCATGCTATCAGTGCACAGCACATCTAAAATTATGCAATGAAACAAGCTGAGATGCTTCGACTCCAACACTGTTTCATATCTTTTCGGTCACAACTGCTTTTAAACAGAATGTGTATGTGGATTTTTAAAAAAAATCCATGTGCTAATGCAAGATATAAACTAAATTGGTGAACCACTAATCACAGCTGTGTCAATATCATAAACGCTCAGCCATTCTTGCCTGATACCCTGTAATGGTTTTTGAACAGACGCTCACACATGCTGGGTTTGGGATACGCATCCAAAAACCAATTAAGTTTGTCAGTGTTTGGACAAGATTGGTGGTTCATTCTCTAAAAAACAATACATTTCTCAGTATCATTCAGTGTAGCAGCTTCTGGGAAGTCTATTCCAGGTCATTTTAAGGCACAAATATGATTCACTGGATAATAAACGCTGCTGTCGTGTTTTGCTCAAGAATACAGACTTTGTTATCCTACAAAACGTGATTCATTTGACTGGCACAAGGCATAAATGCACCCGCTCACTGATTCCAGCATACATCCAGGAAAGATATGAATGCTTCTGATAGAGCTTTGTGAACAAACATAGCTGTAGACACAAATGCATCTTCCTGTTTTCGCATGTGCAGAAGAAGCTTGAGCTTTATTTGAGATGTTCAATGATGGAGATCTCGCCGTGATCTGGGAAGTCCGGAGTTACACCGTTTAGGTACAGGCTGCCATTTTTGGTCAATGTAGGGAGACCTTCTTTCTCAAGTTCATCCGTGAAGTTTACAGACAGGGTCCTCTTGCACGGCATCATGTCCTGACCTGGATTTTGGCCTAGCTCTGATGACAGCTTGCGCTTGATGTACGCTGCTCGCTGAAACTTGTCGTAAACTTCCACGCTCAGGCGGCGGCGCGTCTCTTTGAACTCCGCTGACACGTTAGCCGTCCATTCTGCGGCGTGAGCGCGGAACTCTCCCACCTGGAACAGAAGGAATGTTCAGTGGGACCAAACGCAGTCGAGCGTCACATGTGTTTAGAAGCATTTAAGAGGTGCAAATCAGAACTTCAAAAACCTGTTTTCTGTGAAAATGTTTCAGCTCGAGGGAACGAGAAGCATGTGGGCTGATTCGGCCTCAATGCTACTGGGAGTGTTTTAGAAAGAAATTCAGGGCTACTGCTATGAGACTGTACAGTTCATCCACCATGTGCAGACATGCTATGGATTTTTAGGACTCCCTCGTCCCAATACATAGCTATTAATGGACTTATCATGTGCAACTTAAGTGTGTCAGTTCCTTTTTAACTGTCTCTGGCTTTTACTAATGTTCACAAAATGCATATACAGTAGTTTGGCATATTGTGTAAACTGTCATAATGTTTGCTTATTCTTTCCAAATTTTGTATCAATTGTAATGTATAGTATACTGTTTATATAGTTGTTTAGATAGATAGATATATAGATAGATGTGGAATTTAAGTCATCAAAATAAATTAAAACTGTGATTTTATAAAGTATTATTACTGTTTAAAACATCCGTTTACTATTTTCTAGATATTGTAAACTAAATGTATTAGCTGTGATGGTTGAGTTTCCAGCCATTAGTCAAGCCGAGTCAAGACAATCTACAAGGAAACCTGTTATATAATCTTTAAGAAATCATTCTAATGTGCTCATTTAGTACTCGAGACCTCTTTATTATTATTATTATCATACATCAAAATTATTGTTCTGCCTAATAAAGTGTGGAAACAGCAGTACTGTATGTTTTTCAGTCACTGAAGTATTTAGTACATTTGCATTAGCAGGTCGCTGTACACTTTCAAGACAAGTTTTTGTTTTATAAATGGCCAAACGCAAACACATTTTGGAAGTGCTGAACTATGAGAATCGCTGAGATGAAACCAGCTGAATAAGTTCATAAACTAACTGCATAAGCTGCCAAGCTGCATTTTTTTTTTTTTTTTGCTGAACCGAGAGTTTGAAAAAACAACAGCATTTTTAAACCTAGAAATAGCCATTTGTATCATTCTATATGTCTTTTACAGTATTTTGGATCAATTTAAAGCATCCTAGATGAATAAAAGTGTTCATTCCTTTCAAACGTTTAAATTGTATTTTTAAGTAGCGTTTTCAAACATTTAAATAGTAGTGAATATATGTTAAACACTCTTTGTTTGTACAGTGCAGTGTAATAGTCTATCTGCAAATGCACCCCAATTTTAGGAGCAGTAAAGTTCATACCTACATACCAAACCTCTAAAATGTATAGAAATTATCTCTTTAATGTTCTCAGCTGTGCGCTTTTTCCTGATGCACGACTACCAGGAAGCCTCTTAAAATATATTATAACTACCACTATAGTTTACTCAGGAAGAAATAGTTCACAATGAGCCATGATAATATCAAGACAACTTGCATGTATGGACTATGAAACAATGCCTCTCAAAGCAGTAGTTGTAATAGGAAAAAAAAGAATAAACGAGTAAAACTAATGAGAAAATCTCATAAATGTAAAAACGGAATCTTTGGTTTCCTCTCTAATGAGGTCAGTAGATGGTAAGTTGGCTCCCTACAGGACTCTTGAAATGTTCTAATTTGAGAAGTTTATTTCCTGATGTTGGAGAAAATATGAGTATGTACTACACAGCACCTTTACAGCATTTAAGAGACCCTGAAAGGTGATTTATTATGGATGAGAATTAGGTAGCAGAACTGGGTCATTCAGACCTTTCATTCACATAAATCCTGCACTCCACTTCCTTCTCCTCTATTTCAGGTGAGATGTGATAATGGACTTCGGTGTGAGACATTTTCAGGTTCAGATTTAGTATTCTGCTGCATAATACTGAGGCCTACAATCTCCTTTTTGTGAAAGACTTTCCTTGCATGTTCTTGTAAGGGACAAATCACAATTCCTAAACATAATGCTAATTATGTCATTTGTGATACTGGAATAGAAGGTCAGAAAATTGCACTTTTATGATCTCATCAGAAAAGCACAAGAGGTCCGGAGAAGATGTCTCATTATGTGTTTCAGACAGAGCAAAGCTTCTGTTCCAGCTAATCCAAGCACATAATTCTCCAGGACGAAGCCCATTGACTTCATACACTGGGGTAAATGAAAGCTAAACACAGCGCTGAGCAGTGATTGGCTCCTGGCACCCTGGAACTTTACACTGTGAACTACATAGCAAACAAAGCCACAATAACACATAATGAACTCTCTGACATGACCTGGAACATTTTATACAGGCCTCATAAATCATATACAGCTGTGTTGCCACATAAATCCAAAATAACCAATAAAAGTAAAATACTTTTATATTGTTTAGAACAGTAACGGCACAGTATTTTATTGTGGTAACTTCTTGACAAAATTACATAATAAATTACTATAAATGACACTACCAACATTTTGGAGTTAGTAAGAATTTATTTTAATATATTGATTGACTGATTGATTGATTAAATGATTGATTGTCTCTTATGTTCACCAAGACTGCATTTATTAGATATTATTGTTGAAAACAGTTGTGCTGTTTAATATTTTTGTGGAAACTGATACCTTTTTTTCAGGATTCTTTGATGATTACAACTTTCAAAAGTACAGTATTTATTAAAATCTTTTATAACACTATAATGTCACTTTTGATCGATTTTTAATGCATCCTTGGCATATATAAAGTATTAAGTTAGTATATCATCTTAAAGTATAAAAGTATTTATAAATGTATAAAAGTATATTATATAAATTATATTAATCACTGTTTTTTAAGATTTGATTATATTCAAAATATTCACTTTCATGGAATATCATGGAAAAACCACTTCATTTCTTTTATAACAAAATGATGTCAATATTTCTGAAATTGATACCATACCTGAAATAAATGGATTTTTGTTGGGTGATTTCTGAGGATAAAATAGGTAAATATATCATCCGTTTTAACATTTAATAGGCCTACATGTCAAATGATCAGATTTTTATGTTGTTCCTAACACAACCATTTGGTGATGCTGGACAAATAAAACTCCCCTGTTGTGTGATTGTGTTGAATGTCTTTAAAGTGCAATCCAGTAAATTCCTTTTCCAATTTATATTGTAATTCAATATCCTGTGGCTCATGGCCAGTTCAATTCACACTCATGAATTGAGAGGGAGCCATTTCTGAAATTCAGATTTTTGCTCAACCGTGGAAGAGAAGTGCAGTTCTCGACCCGGCATTCCTTTAAAGCATATCAGCAAGCACATACCTCCTCTTTGGTCTTCTTGGAGATGACTCGAAGCCAGTCTCCAATCATACTCAGAACTGCAGCGAAGTAGGCAAGGCCCACCAGGATCCAGAACCACACGATGGGCTTATAATAGTCCAGATACTCAATCTCAGAACCTCCTGAATGAGATAAATTAACCCACATCAAGCCACTGAACTTATCATGACTAAATTCGACTACTTCAGTTTGAGTTACTTTTCTGGGCATTTATTTGCTTTCAAAAACAAACGCAAGACCTTGAAATGGAGACTGAAGGAGCAAAGTAGTGACTTCGTTCACCTGCCACAAAGTCTCCAAATCCAATAGTGGTTAAAGTGATGACAACAAAGTAGATGGACTCCAGAGTGCTCCAGCCTTCAATGTGTTGGAAGATGAGGGCTGGGAGGGCCACAAAGAGCAGGCACCCAAACAGGATGAACAGGACCGTGGATGTCACACGGATTTTAGTTTGGCTCACGTTCCATTTCTGAGGAAAAACAGAGGAGAAGGCAGGTGAGAATGCTGGGTGGAAATACAATTAAGCTCATTATAGTCCCGGTTGACAGACGTTCACAATACTCGACCAGACACCGTTTGAAAACATTCACTCTTATGCAACGTCTGACATCTAGTTTACATTGTCACACATGAGAAATAGAGAAAATAGAAGGACATTACTGTTCAAGAGTATGGGGTTGGTAAGATTTTATTGGTAACACTTTAGTATAGGGACCAATTCTCACTATTAACTAGTTGCCTATTAGCATACCAATTATTAACATATTGGCTGTTTATTAGTATTTATAAAACACATATTCTGCATCCCTAATCTTACCCAATACTTCAACTTAACAACTATCTTATTAACTATTAATAAGCCGCAAATTAGGAGTTTATTGAGACAAAGGACATAGTTAATGGTCTGTTAATCGAAATAAATTAACAATAAAAAAAAAGAAATTAGCATTTACTTTGCACAATATTTACGCATGTTCACACTTATACTAATCGGTCAAGCAGTCACAGTTATTGCCCAATTGCCCCGAAAATTGCCAAATATGCTGGAGGATGAATATTCCACCTGGCTTAAGTATTACCCTATAACTAGTTTAAAAACCATATGAAATCAAAGTGAAAGTTTTATGGGCTTTAGTCATTGTGTGTTAACTTTGAGAAACCTTATATTTTTAGCAGATATAAACATTTCAAATGTGCAAAAATAGGAACAGGACCAAAATACGGATCATAAAAATGGACAAAGAAAACTGATAACTCATGCAACCAACTATTAGCATAAACGATCACTTATACTAAAGAGCATAAAATGTGGAAATGTGTCAACACAGGACAGAATAGCTGCACTCAGTTTAGTAGAGTTTAAGAAATAAACACTTGCCCCGAAAAAAGATGGATTTTTCCTTTCAGCCTTCAAGAAATTGTTTACTATGTGTTATACAAAAGAATGAGTGCACCAGCAATAAATAATTCACTATGCTGCATTGACAAATACTGTATTGCGCTCTTCATTGCACACGTCAACGTTCCAAATTGTTCCTGCGCAAAAACACAAAAGCTCAGCAGAGAATAAAAGCGTGTATGTGCAACGAGTGTAAACAAGATGGCCACCAGAGGCACTTAAGTGATTACATTGAATCATCAAATGTGACAGTACCACAGAACAAGGTTAACAGTAGTCAGCAAGCCTTTCCGCAAAACAATCATTATTTTAGAGTGGCATGAGACTTATTGAGTGAAGACAATATAATTTATTACTGATTAAAGGGATTTGGGGTGCACAGACTGTTTTCTAACTTAATAAAATATTAATATTGTTTTTAGAATAGATTTAGTAATCTGCCACAGTGGTTAATTTACATTACATTTTTATAAATATTTCAAAGAACTCAAACAACAGCACTTGTGGCAATTTTACAACTTTGTTGCCATGAAACCTAATGCTGCAAACCCTAAAACACAATGAAAAAGATGAGAACATATTTACACTACAACTTTACAAATGCACAAGTTTAAGCTTTTTTTTAACACACCTGATTCAGATCATCTCGTTAGAAGTGAGCTCCGT